ACATGCACTAATGCACATGATTAATTTATAATACATGGGATTTGACGCATTTTTTAAATCAAAAGGACTAATGCTTCTAATTTATAATACCTCGTTTTCCGGGAATGCTGCCATCTTCCTGCGTGGTTGGGTTTCATTTAGGATTACTTATTTCATTTATACCTTTAATACGAGTATAATTAATTATTTAATTAATTAATTTCCCTCAATTCTCTTACCCATGTCAGTTCATTGATAACCGGTCAATCTATGGTGGCGGAAAATTACAGCGGCGCCGCAAAACTTCGGCGGCGGCGGAAACTGGCAGATTGACGGACAAATTATGGAAAAAAAAAGTAAAAGAAAAATCGTCAGCCGGTGTTCCGGGCCTCCGGCCTGGACAACTTGGGGACAAAGGCTCCAACCCTATGAAAGTATTTTAATCAAATCACAAATAAAAAAAATGATAAGCTTTGGTTCTATTTGAGTAAATCTCTCTAATCGCGGGAAGCCTGACTGCTATTTAAGAGTGGGCCATGTCTAGTGAATTTGTTCTTTTTGTTTGGATAATGGAGTTATGAGTTATACTCAGTAGTTGTTATACCATGAGACGGCCGGTGAGAGTGACATTTGATGAACATCATACACTCATACAGTCATACTTAAGACGCATCATTTAGATTTAGAGCCCGTTTGGTAGCACCAAAATCGACTGTTTTAGCTGATTCTGACTGAAGTGGTTGCATTGGCTGATTCTGCTGATATAAGAAAAACACATTTTTTAAATATATTTTAGTAATAAAGTAAACAAAATAAAATAGCTAAAATGATCATCTACAATAACATCAGCCAATACAGCCAGAAAAGCAACTCCAACCTTACTTTTTATGCTTATTAGTTATTACACAATTCAACGTACGAAAGCAGAAGTTACGTGTTTGGCGAAAAAGTTAGCTGATAAGCCTGATAAGCCGAAATACGGTGTTGCCAAACGGCCTCTTAACCTGTAATAAAAAAGCGAGCGTGAACCCGCCTTTTGCTTAGTCGATTTCTGTTCGGTCTTCGTACCCATGCACGTGTCTCAATTTTTTCATGATGTGAATCATGTATATTGAAATGTAACTCACGTTGGTGTGAAATGTAATCGCAGTAAGCAGAAAACGTAAGTCGCGCATTGGAATATAACTCGCTTTACTCCTTCCTGTGATTATTCTCTCACCTTTAATATATGATGAAATGTAAATCGTGTGTATGCAAAATGTAACTTAAGACAAGTCGAAATGTAAATCACGTTAATTGAAATGTAACTTGAGACAAGTTGTAATGTAAATGACATTAATCTAAATGTAAGTTGCGCATATGAACATGTAACTCACGTACATGTAAATGTAAGTCCATGTATTAGCAAATTACCATGAATCACGTATGAATGTAACTCAGACATAGGGAAATGTAAATCACAAACATGAAAACGTAATCTCATCTATTATCAAATGTAAATCAACAAAAACAAAACTCAACGTCTTAAAACCCCACTAAAAATATACTACCTTCATTCTTAAATAAATGCAATCGTTAACTTTTCAAATTTGTCAATGCACAACTTTGGCCATTAATATATTTAATTCACCATTATCGAAAACAATATGAAAATTTACTATAAGCGAAATTTAACAATACTTTTTTATAAAAATAATAATTAATATAATAATAAATAAAATATAGCCAAAGTAGAACATGTGAATAGTGTAAAATTAAACATGTTGCATTTATTTAAGAACGGAAGAAGTATAAAATAGATAAAAATATGAGATAATTATCTTAGATATGACTAAAACTGCATCACTTTCTTAATCAACGACCTAACTAGTTTTTTTACCAAAATATTATTAAAATTCATAATAATGAATGAAAATTCGTAATAAATAAATAGATAAATAATTTAGATTGACAAATATACCTGTTGAGTTTAATCCAACACGATATAGTAAATATATGTATAAATGTGTATGAACAACTCAGTTTTTACGTGGAAACCCGAAAGGGAGAAAACCACGGGACTTTTTAGGCTAATGTCCAAGCCCTCTCTTTCTCATTAGGACTCTCTTCACCATTACATTGTACAAGCTCCCATTAATGGAGTATTTGAGCTAAGTCTAAAAGGAGGAAGATGGAGCTAAAAGAGGATCCCCAAAACATGGAGGGAAGCCTCATATTTATAGGGGAAAGGGGAAGGGTGCTCTCCACCCTAATGGGCCAAACGGGCCAATATTGGGCCTAATGGGCCGAAATGGGCCTAGCTGTCGGGCTCCGTACTGGATGATGTCCTGGGCTCCTGAACAGTAATAGGCCGGGATAATATATCCCTACAATACCCTTAACGTTATATCTATAAAACTCTAAGCTCCTACTCTTTTCTCCAACCCTGACCTACATTCTCCCACCTCCAAGATGCCTTGCCGCCACACGCCTTCTACTGCCGCACGCCCCATGGCCCGTTTGTTTGCAGTCGTTCAAGAGCACAATCGCCAGCCCTACATGTGCTCGTTGCAGCTATTGCCCAATCTCTTGATTGTGCATACACATTATGTATTGATTTTCTTCCAATATGTATCGAGATGGTTGAGTGGATCCACGGTAAAATATAATTTATTCCATGAGAAATTGGGGGTGGAGTTTTGTTTTATGTTGCTTTCACACAATTGGAGATGGTGCATACATGGTGGACATTGAGATAAGAGAGACTTATTTAAAGATAATCCCCTTATTATTTTTTAGTTTATTTTTATTTTCGTTGTGTATTAATACGTCTTCTTGATCTCATTCTCACTTCGTCATCTACCCGCACAACCAGACTCCAAGTCGTCGTCGCCAAGTCGTCGTTGCCGCTCAATTGTCCGCCTTCATTCGTATTCTTCTTGAATTTTTTTGAAATTGTGGTTTGTTAAAATTAGGGTTTGTGGGCATTAAACATGGACAGTGAACATACGCAGTGAACTTTGTCTAGTGAGTATGGCAATAGATAATGTTGTTACATGGGCAGTAAATGAATGCATTAAGAAAGTTTGTTCTGCAGTGAATATAACCAATAGGCAATAGTGCGATAATGTCGCCATGAAACGCAATATACTTAATTAAACATAAAATAATAAAATTATTGAATTTACAAAAAAAAAAACCTCAATTGAATAAGAAGAGAATTAATTTTAGGGGAAGTGCAGTGCTTATTATCGCATGTGCATCATGCATTAATTTTGTGCATTAACGGCAATATAAAGTGCAGTAGTTTTAATTAAATGAAATTAGTGCAAAATGCACATATTTTAAATAAGGGTTTTTTTGTCATTCAACATTTAAATATAAATGAATTTTCTATTTGTTTTTGGATTTTTGGTCATACAAAAGTATAAAAACTAGTTAGGTCATAGATTGGAAAACTCATTGAGTTTTAGTAATATCCTGGTAAATTTCCCTAAAAATATATTACAAATAAGTGTATGAATATACAAAAAAAATTATTGAAAAAGTTTATGGTTGAAGATAAAGAAAAATTTGTGATTTGCATTAATTCAGTTGTAATGATATTTTGTAATGAACTGGTAAAAAAGGTAAATTCAGTTGTAACTTAATCAGTTAAAGATAAAGAAAAGTAAAATGATAGTTAAATGGTTAGTATTTTGATGGAGAAGAAACCTTGATGGAATTTGAATACAAAACCTCTCACAAAAGAGATACTTGAAGATGAGTGGTCAAACAAGAGACCCACACCACCATTCCCTTGTACTTCTTTTTTTAATGTTTCTAAGTTATGACATGTTTCTTTATTTGATAAATATTTTTATCACTTTATTCTATCTCACTTTAACAATAATGATTATATCGTGTTAAATTATGCTAAATAGTGTTAAAACAAAGAGTCAAACTAATTTTCCTTATTCCTCTTTTAGGATCACCGTAGTCCCAACACAGAAAAGTGAAAGGACATTTCGCTCTCTCATCAGCAACGTAGTACGTATGTGTATGTTCTACTGAAAACTAACTTGAAAGTAGTCCTGGACTCGGGCCGGGTGGCCTGACCCGGAACCGGCCCAAGACCGGTACTGTGCTGAACCGGCCCGGCATGGTGGCCAGTCAGTAACCAGTCCGGGTAGGATCGGCCCAGGGGGTTCCCGGTGCGGGCTCGGGTCACCAAAAGCCGAACTGGCCAGTCAGTAACCAGTCCGGGCTTTTTATTTTTTTTTTCAATTATTTTTTCATTTTTTTTTTTAACTTTTCGGGTTGGGCTGGGTATTTTGAACCATTTGGGGTGGTTTGGGGGTTGGGGTGGGGGTTAATTAGGAAAAGGGAAAAAAAATTGACCCGAGGCCCGACCGGCCCGGACCGGCCCGGACCCGGCCCGGACCCGGACCCGGCCCGAATCCAGCCTTACTTGAAAGTCTTCAAAATGTTGTAGAATGTGACTATGTGAGATGATCTTAGAAAATCATTCTTGAGATCTACCGGCCTCCACTAGTCATGGACCCGGGCCGGGCCCAGCCGGGCTTTTTTTTTGGGAAGGAAGGCCCGGGACCGGGCCGGGCCTCCGGTTTGGTTATTTTTTTTGCTTTCCTATCCCCCCCCCACCCCCAAACCCCTCCTAACCATCAAGCCCAACCCGGGTGTATCCCAAAAATGAAAAAAAAAATCAATTAGGCCCGGACCCGGGCCCAACCCGGCCGGGCCGGTTCGCCAAATACAAGGCCCGACCCGCCCCCCCCACCGGGCCTAGGCCTGACCCGGATCCGGACCCGAGAACCGGGCCGGTTCCGGTCCCGCACAGTAGCGGGCCGGGCCGGGTGGCCCGAACCGGGTCCATGCCTAGCCTCCACACAGTCAAATGATGTGCTAGCAATCTCTTTGCTCTCTCTTTATTTCTACTTTGGCGCTCGAGGAGAAAATGGATTTCCATGCAAACTAAGTCAAATACACCTAAATTTGGTCATGATGGAAGAAAAATAATCTAAATATATTTATGATACTTCCAGAGTTCCAGTATACGAAATTTGATTCTTGATGTGCTAACTCTCAGATTGAAGGTCATATGTTTGAATCAGGTCCACAATATTATTTAACATATACTACGTGTTACAAATAAGACACTGTTTCTGAAAAAAAAAAAGTCTTACCTACTAATACTTCAATTAGGACTAATAATTAAAATACACATATTTACATAATACTAACAAACCTAATGAGGGTGTCTAAGAAAAGGTCACTAGTTATTTAGGCTACTTCATTTGTCAAACAAAAGAATCGTTGTTGTTAATCACAAGTCCATAACACACACATACAACCTTCCCAGTTTGCACACAAACCAGGCCTTCTCACCATCCTCATCTCTATTCACACTGCTCATAGAGATCCATGTTAATCACCCATCTCTAGAAGATTCATCACTTCCCTATCTTAATTTTATGCATAACCATCACCAGCATTACTTTGTGAAAAACTGAAAACTGAATAACATCTTAAAGAAAAATTTCCAACTTTTTTCTCCCACATGTTTCTCCATAAGCTGCCAGCATCTCTTTCCCAGAGTGGCCAAATATGTCTGCTCACATTATCTTCTTTAACACCACTGTCTTTACTCAATTACATTCCTAAACCAATTTTTCCCCATAATTTGCCAAAAAAACCTGGTTTACAATGACTTCCAGTTACTTGAGATCCTGTGTTAATTTTAATAATAGAATGTGCATCTACTGGCACATCTTCAACACACGACTCCTTCCGTCCTTTATGTGACTCTTCCACTTTTGGTGCCTCCTGTAATTTAGTTGAAGAAGATCTAATCTTCCGTACAGAGCAAGGACTTGGTGCTGACCTCTGCTGCTTCTGACCTTTGGTGAAGGATATTTTTGTAACTCCCACTTTACGAACAGAGGAAGCTTTTGGCGTATCAGAACGGTCCTGATGACAGGGAACAAGCGGAGGCTTCTGTTCCGAAATCATAAAGGGGTCTTCAAGAGGTGCCTTATAATGGCCATACCAAGAGCCATGAGGACCATCTGGTGGTTGATTAAAACGCTTCCCATTAAGGTTCTCGCCACTAATTAGAGCATTCCATTGCCATATAATACTGGCAGCACTGCTAAGAGCATTGGGCACAATTTCTAGACTGGCGAGCAAAATGTTGTAATTGTTCATTCTTAGTCGGTGTAGAATGCTGGCGAAATCTCTATCTCCTGAAATCAAGAAAAGGTGTGCTGGTGGGGGGTTTCGAGAAACCCAATACATAAGGTCAACAAGAAGAGACCTGTCAGCACTGTTCTTTCCACCTGAAGTAAATAAAAAGAGTTTATGTTAAGTGAAATAATAGTTGGTGCAGATAACAATTGTAGGAGTCCTATCAAACACCAGAAATTGAGACTGACCACCATATCAAAACAAGAATCAAGTTAAACACATTAACAAATACAGTCAATTTTGTTTCTCTGTTAGTCTAAGAGAACCTCAGCTTTGAGATAAATTTAAAAATAAAACTGAATGTAGGTAGGAACTATCTCAACTCATCTCTAATTCATTATCTTGTCATATTTTCCATGCAAGTGGAGATAATCAAAGATCATAGTGATTTGAGTTTCATATCATTATACCTTCATAAGAACATTGCTTTAGGAAGGGAGTCCGGTGTAAAGTTATGCATCCGCTTTATTTTTTAATTCTGCCTGAAATTTTGTGTTTAATATTTAGAAAGCTAATTGACACTCTTAGTGCCCATTTGGTAACATTATTTTTTAACTTATCAGCTTTACCGTACAGATGTTTTACCACCTCTATTTTTGGATGAATGTGCTAAATTGGAAAATAATGAAACAAGCAAGGTTGGAGGTACATTTTTGGCTGAATTGGCACAAAAGGGCTATTTTAGCTTTATTTCCAAAGCATTTCTTCAATACTTTAAAGTATATCTTAAATTTAATTTTTTAAAACTTCATTTCAGCCATTTCACCAATAACTTTAGCACATTAAGCCAGTTTCAGTTTTACCAAGCAGGGTTTAGATCTTTCAAAAAAAACCAAGCAGGGTTTAGAATATAATGCCACCCACTGATCAAACTACTTAATATCAACGTGATAGATGCCGAATGAAATCTCAAAGAGCAGAATTAACTGTTGTCTGTGAGTAATAAACTGATTATATTTGAAGCCCAAGAAGACATGGAATTTATTAATAGATGCATCACATATTGAAGCCACTGGCTGAGCATTTATGGAACCACGGAATGAATCTTATGGCACAAATAGCATTCCAGAACAAACAATGCCTTAAAGGCATTTCATTGGAGCAACCCTTCCAAGCCGCAATTCCCATTTATGTGTGTGAATATTACACATAACAACAAAACCAAACAAGAAATGCCATCAAGCACTAGATAAAAGATGATATTTTACTACATTTCAGATTTCAACACTACTTTTTTAAAACGCAAATAATAAAAAACAGTGATTTCTATAATAAAAACATAAATTCAAAGAGAGAGATTTACCGTTGGGGACGTGAGTGAAAGTGATTCCCGTGGAAGAAAGGGAGTCCTGATTAACACGCGACATCTGCATTAGGTCACCAAAAGCCGTGATTTGGATGGGACCCTTGATCCCATTAGCCCTAATGGCGGCATTGATACTCTGGGTCACCCTAAACAAATTGGAGCCAGTCGGCAAATTGCAATTCTCGAAATCCCACCATACCGAGACCTTAACATTTCGACTTTCTACCTCATGTCGGCGTGAGGAGGAAACGTTGTCGGAGGAGTGAAATGTTGCTTTGAAGAAATGTGAGATTTGAAACAGAGAGTTTGCAGAGATGGGGAAAGATATCGCTGGATTGGGTCTTGTCGGAAACAAGGGTTTCATGTTTGCGGTTAGGAAAGAAATGATGCCCTCGTTTGAGTCCTTTTCAACTTTTAATTCAGCGGAATAACTAATTTCAATTAGGAAGGAAGAACAGAAAAACCGTTGGAATCTAATCCTTAAAATCTGGTTCGATTAGATTCATACACATGAGTTATAGAATGTTAAGGATTGGATTATTATTATTATTTGTTAACCGTTGGGTTCTTGGTTCTTACAGGAAGAAGAGAGCTGGGATCGACCAAATCAGTATTTCTACATAGATTTGATCGACCCGAGCTCTTTTAAGTAATTCAGGAATTAGGCAGCGGGTCGCGGCTCTATTATGAAAAAATACGTTTAAAAAGAGCAATGTGGGAAATAACATACTACCACTGTCCCATTTTATGTGTTTCCTTTGGTTTTGGCACAATTTTTAATAAAGTGGTTGAAAAAGTAAAAGTTGTGGTTGAGATTTGAGTATAATAAAGTGAAATGTTGTGAACCACATATTTCTTTCCAAAAAGGGAAAGATGACACTTATTTTGAGACAACCCAAAAAGGAAAGTAAGACAGGTAAAATGGGACGGAGGGAGTATACAATAGCCACCCGGCGCTTGAGGGGCCCTTCCAGTTCGCATAGCAGGGCTGGTTGCTAGTTACTAATGTTAGGACAAATCCTATGCTTTTCCTAGTCAAATACCCGCAGCTCGGTAACAACCATAATCGAAAGGTCCTACGGAACCGTTAAAGAATCGTTATTAAAAAATAAAAAATTGAAAGTATAACTAGTAGTAGTAAACTAGTAATAATAATGATAACAATAATAATAGTCTTAACAATAATAATTATAGTAACAATAATAATAAAAATAATATAATTGATGACACTTAATCATAGAGTAAAGGGTCAGTTTGGTCCTTGAAGTTGAAAAAAGGGGGTCAAATAAGTCCTTAGATGGAAGATTCTGTTCGGATGTGCCATTTGAGGCGGTTCCCGATGGAATTTTTGATAAATTTTTTCGAGCATCTTATTCATTAAGTCTAGTTTACTCATATCAAATTTCAGCTAAAAATTCAACCGGGGAGACATTCAAATGAATTCTTGAAGATAATTGCGCTTTTAAATGCACAGTTATCTTCAAGAATTCATTTGAATGTCTTCCCGGTTGAATTTTTATCTGAAATTTGGTATGAGTAAACTAGACTTAATGAATAAGATGCTCAAAAAATTTCATCAAAATATTCCACCGGGAACCGCCCTAAATGGCGACGGTTGGATAGAATCTCCTATATAAGGACTTATTTGACCTTTTTTATGCAACTTCGAGGACCAAACTGACCATTTACTCCTTAATCATACAACAATTTAAGTTTAATCGATGGAAGCAGATGGGGATGAGTACATTAACCTCGTTTTTTTACAAATGATATATATTTTGTTCCATCATGGAAATTTCATAATTATAAAAGTATATCAAATTAATTCATGTTGGTTCGATATATTTTTTCTCCATAATATTCAAGATGATTGTCATTGTGAAATTTAATGTAAATAATGCTCCTAGGATTTGGAAAATGATGATGTTTAAGTTTTGAGAAACTTGAACTAGACGTCTTATTCTACTATGATGACCCAACTTTTATTGATATCAAACAATGATTTTCATATTTTATCTACAAACAAAATTCAAAAATTATTTCATTCTATTGAGTGTTAAATAAATTAAGTTGGACTTGATGTTTGAAGTGATGAGAGCTTCAAAATGTACTTATTGCTCGTGTTTTGAATTTTCGACGTTTTTGCATTGTAGAAAGTAAATTCTGTTAACGTTTTTATGGGAAAAAATCATGCTTAGGAACTGATAAAAGTAAGAACCAAACCGTTTACTATTGGTTCGGTTTCATAACGGTTCTTGAAATTTTAGATAGGAACCAAACCGATTTGATTAGTTGAGTTTTTTTAACGGCTCCACTAATTTCATATAAGAACCAAATCGGTCTCAGGCCTAATTTCAATACAAAGTTTAATTTTAAGACAGAAGTCCCTTAATCAAAGTAAAGGTGGAATGATCGATCCTCTCACGCCCGCGTGAAAGAACCCGCCATCTGGCCAAAGCTATTTAAGACTTTTATCGATGAATTTTTTTAATGAATTTTTTTACATGATCTTTATTAAGTCTAATTTATGCCCATCAAATTTAAATACAAAATTCAATTGGAAGACAGTCCAATGTGAAATTGAAAAACATTGCGGTGTTTATTTATATATAAAGTGCAATGTTTTTAAATAATTTATTTAATTAGCTTCCCGATTGAATTTGAAGCTTAAATTTGATAGATATAAACCAGACTTGATAAAGAATATGGTCAAAAAAATCATCAAAAAAATTCCAACAAAAAGAGCTCCAAATGACCTTGACCGGCTTGACAGGATCACTACTCGAAGTAAAGATACCTCAAATTGAATTATGTCATTTTTTTCACATAGCATAAGTTCATACTTCCACTATCTTTTTTATGGTAAATGTCAAAACATCGTTTGCCAATTGGCTTACAATATTATCAGGTATAAAATCAAAATTAATGACACAATCAGTCATAGATATAGCGGCAAATTATACCGTGGGATCGGTATACCATGCATATGGTATACCCATCCTAAATACGGTGCCGTTTTTCATAATAAAAGGAACATGCAGCGCACACTTGCACTCCCAACGTCGCTTCTTTGTTTCTTTGTTTCTTTTTACTCCGTAGTTGTTTATTACTCCTTCGTATTATTCGTTTCTCTTATAGTCTTTTCTCTAATTGCACGTACACTTCAATTCGTTCCACCATTGTTTTTTTATTTTTTATTTTTTTGCTTTTTCTTTGTTTACTTTAATTTTTTTTTAATTATCAAAAGAAAACATGTTTCCAAATAGTTTTTTAAATTTAGGAATACTGATGTACGTATAAAAATTTTGTGATCAAATTTTCATCTTTTCAAAACAAATAATTATCTTTTCAAAATAAATTCATCTCATTCATATACTTTTTTTCTTCTTTTTGGCTTCAGCTTAAATTACAACCTAAAATTAAATCATTTTTTCTTCAAACTAAGTATTTTTATATTTTATACACTTGTGTGATTTATATTTCCACGTACATATGTGAGTTGTGTTCATAGACAATTTCTAAAATTATATTTGCTAGTATGTGGAGTTACATCTTTTTATTAATGAGTTACAACTTCTTTTGCATGAGTTACATCTTTTAATGCGAGAGTTACATTTAGACTTGTCTCAACAAGTTATATTTTGCATACACCTTAATTAGATTTTCCATCAACGTGAGTTACATTTATTTATAACACGAGTTACATCATAAAATAAACTTCAGATATTGAAACAAAAAATCATTTTTTGCAAAGAAAAATGATTTTTTTTGGCAAAAAAAATGATTTTTTGGTATTTTTTTTCTTAGAAACGTTTTATGGCCCTAATACTAAAAACAAAACATATTAACTATTTACGTAAATTAATTTGAGCAATTAGACTCCTTGTTTTCATTAATTAGCTTTGATGGTATATGGAGTTACATCTTCATATGCTCGGGTTACATCTTTTTATGTGTGAGTTACATTTTCATACACTCGAGTTACATTTAGACTTGTCTTAACAAGTTACATTTTGTATACATCTAAGTTAGATTTTTCATCAATGCGAGTTACATTTTCCATCACAATATAAAGCCCTGCTATTGAAACAAAAGAATCATTTTTTAAAAAGATTTTTTTTTTGGCAAAAAATGATTGCTTTGACAAAAAAATGATTTAAAAAAAATATTTTTATGACCTTAATATTAAAAACATATCATATTCACTATTTAAGTAAATTTCTGCTATTGAAACAAACAAAAAATTCACTTTTTGCAAAAGAAAAATGATTTTTATTTTTCGAAAAAAATGATTCTTTTGCCAAAAAATTGATTTTAAGAAAAAAAAAAACATTTTTATGGCATTAATATTAAAAACACAACATATCCACTCTTTACGTAAAGTAGTAATTGAGCAATTAGACTCTTTGTTTCATTGAAATCAATGTTTTATTTTTTATAATCCGTATTAGACAAGTTACATTTTGACTTGTCTGCAGTTACATTTCCTATTTACGGGAGTTACATTTTTTTTTATACATGAGTTACATCAGTCTACTACTGTACAATGAAAAAAACAAAAAAAAAAGAAGAAGTTATTATTCACCCGCGTGAACAGTAACACGCGTTTTTTTTTTGTGTGGGAGCAGCATGCTCACGGTGGGCTGCTCCCACGGTGTACCAACTGAGAAATAGCCGCTTTTGCAAGAATATGAGCTGCTTGATTTGCTGATCTTCTACACCATTGAACTGAAAAGCTTGTTTCCTCTTCCAATAAAAGTTTAATATCTTCAAGAATTATTCCCACTTGAGATTCATACTTCTCTCCATGTGTACCAGAAAGAATTAGAGAAGCATCAGTTTCAACCACCACATTATTCCACCCATTATGCCTTGCCCAAACAATGGCTTCCCTTACCCCCGGAGCTTCCGCTTCCACTACCGACCATACTCCCTTCACAGTCCGACACCGTGCCTGGATAAAATGACCATGGCTGTCTCGGCCTATCCACCCCCATGCCCATTTACCGAACTGCACTTTATTGGCTGCGCCCACGTTGATTTTTATCTGGTTAGCCGCAGGTTTTTGCCATCTACTGCTCTCAACCCGGAGCTCGTTTTCTGTGCAACTCTCCAGCTTCCCAACGTTGCAATAGCAGCCTGTTTCACACTTGTAATGTACTATCGTATTGAACAAGGCTCTCCTCTCCAAATGATTCCCTTCCTCATTTTCCATAAGCTCCAAAGGAGCATAATGAAATGGCATAGAGTTTCCTCTCCTATTGCTCCAAAAACTTTCTGGCAGCTAGCAAAAAAGGAGTCTTCACCCACTAAATTCAGAAAGCCAGCTTCCTGCCACACGCCTTGAGCTACTGGACACTATAAATAAATGTGTGGCTGTCTCCTCCTCCGAGTTGCAAAAAGGACAATCCCCAACCACATGAATAGAATACCTGAGACAAGCTGAT